CCTCCTCCTCCTCCTCCTCCTCCCCCTCCCCCCCTCCTCGTGCTCCTGGCCTCCCGTCGCGCGCGAGACGGAGGCAGGTTCCAGAACAGAGGGGAGGGAAGAGGGGAGAGAGGGGCTTCTCCTCCCCGTCGCCCTCCGATCATCCCTGCTATCTCTCCTTCTCTCTCTCTCTCTCTCTCTGTTTTGTTTTGTTCTCTCTCTCTCTCTCTCTCTTTCTCTCACTCTCACCTCTCGCACTTCCCTCCCCCCGCCTTCCTTTCCTCCCCTCTTGCCCCCCACCCCCTCCCCCATCGTCTTCGGACCCGCGCCCACCTTTCCTCCTCCTCCTCCTCCTCCCCCTCCCCCCCTCCTCGTGCTCCTGGCCTCCCGTCGCGCGCGAGACGGAGGCAGGTTCCAGAACAGAGGGGAGGGAAGAGGGGAGAGAGGGGCTTCTCCTCCCCGTCGCCCTCCGATCATCCCTGCTATCTCTCCTTCTCTCTCTCTCTCTCTCTCTGTTTTGTTTTGTTCTCTCTCTCTCTCTCTCTCTTTCTCTCACTCTCACCTCTCCTCCCCCTCCCGCCCTTCCTTTCCTCCCCGCTTGCCCCCCACCCTCCCCCATCGTCTTCGGACCCGCGCCCACCTTCGCCCATCCCCCCTCGCCACCCTTCTCTCTCCTCCGCTTCGCCCCTCCTGGGGAAACCAAGAGGCACCAATCCCGCTACGCCCCGGACCGCTCCCGGGGTGCGCTCCGACCAGGCTCTCGGCGCGAATCCAGCGGTGGCGACAGGGGTCTACCAGGCCAGGAAAAGGGAACGCGGGCGAGGGGCAGTGGTATCGGTGCCGGCTCTTCCTCTGACCTCATCCTCCTTCTCTCGCCTCGCCCCCGCTCTCCCCTCTTTCCTGCCCCCACCGCCATCGCTCGGACGTCCATTCCACGTGCACTTTTCCGGCCGCGCGCGTGTAGCGTTCGCACCATGGTGGAGAATGCCCCAAAAATTCACACGTCCGAGCGATGCCACGGCATGGGACACACAAGGACATACTACAGTAAACCCGTATCGTAAGGATGCGCGATAAGGATGCAAGGGCCTTGGAAGCCTATTCCAAAGCTTTTCGAGCGGGGCGCGGCCAACGAAAGCGGCCAAGGATGGACCGATGAGGCAAGGATGCAAGGATACCCTTGGAAAGGCTTTCCATCCTGACTGTTCGGGTTGACTGTAACACTATCTGTCTTCCGTGGAGGCGCGCGTTCGACCCGACCATACAGTACAACCATATGGTAGCATATCGTTTCCCGAGCAGCACGGCCAGAAAGCGTCCGCCACGGTGCATATGCTATAAGATTTCTCGGCGCGCGCGTCGCCCATTTGGGGGTGGCGCGCACATAGCATCAGTGCGGGGATGGACAGAGCCCCTTTAGCAAAACGTGGTTTCGTGACAACGACCTCGGGCTCAAACCTGGCGGCCGTAAGCCTGGAAACTGACGGCCGCGGCGCTCTCCCGAGAACCGAGAACGGACGATTCACTAACCGACGTGTCAAGGTGGGCCTTCTGTCCACCCCCGAGCTCCAACCAAGGCCGCGCTAACGGCGATGTCGGTGAACGGCGATGTTGGGAGTCCGACTCTTGTGACGCCGAGCTCGCGCAAAACAAAATGCAGGAGATCACGAAATGCCGTTTCCTACATTTCAAGTCTGCACGTGTACCGAACGGAAACGACACAGCGAGTGTTGTAGGCAAACGCGAACCCCGCGTTCCTCCAAGTGGCTTGGCCACGAGCCGCGCTGTCCTGCAATTGGATTTCCTACTTCGCCGTCAGCTAACACACCGTTACCGCGTCTACGGAGGGGGAGGAGGAGGAGGAGGAGGAGGAGGAGGAGGAGGAGGAGGAGGAGGAGGAGGGAGGCGGAGGAGGAGGAGGGGGGGAGGAGGAGGGGAGGAGGAGGAGGAGGGAGGAGGAGGAGGAGGAGGAGGAGGAGGAGGAGAGGGAGGAGCAGGAGGAGGAGGAGGAGGAGGAGGAGGAGGGGGAGGAAAAAGGAGGATCAGGGCGATGCACACGCCCGAGCGGTGCCAGAAGGCAGCCCGGCCCCCGCCTGGAGCGGGGCTGCCCGTCTGCCCGCACGAGGCCGGGGAGCAGGCCGGAGAGCAGGTCGGGGCGGCGGGCGTGCACCAGGGCCGCGGCGATGGCGATGGCCTCGGCACTGCTGCGGGGGATGCTACACCCTGCGAAATGCTTAAGAAATCATGGGTTAAGAAATTCATAGTCTCAGAACTTGCGTAAAAACCCAACATTTCTATTCATACCTTGGGATTTACATTGAAAAGTCAAGAATAATCGAGACTCTGGACGAAAATTCAGGTTTTCTTAAGCATCGCCTGCGGGGGATGCTACTCCAAATCGTTATGGATCGTCCCCCAGGTCTGGTTTTTTGAGGCGCCTTTTTTCTAAGGGGGGGTCGGGTTTTTATGAGGGCGCTGTTTTTGGATTGGAGCTTAGAGGGGGTCCGGTTTATCAAGACGCCCCGTCGAGGAGGGGGGTCCGGAATATTAGGTCGCATTTGGAGGGGGTCCGTTTTTTTTAGGGGGGTCGGTAAATGAGGGATGTGGAGTACTATAGTAGATAGTCAGAACATACCCCTAACTAGCCAAAAATAGTCCAAACATCGTCCCCAGACTTTTTCTACTAGTTTGGAATATCCCTCCTGTAGAGGGACATGCCCGACTTAATACTAGAGGCCTCCAAGATGGGGGATGCCATTAGAGGCCCCCTACAACCCTCGTCAAAATTTACCTCAAAAATGTCTGTCGTGGCTGAACTGCTCGTTGGGAGATGCTGGACATAGTAGCGGTGACTGCGAGGTACTTGTACGCGCCGCCCCTCCAATGTCGGTCATCATCGAACTTCCGAATCGTTCCTGGTCCCACCGACATTGGAGGGACGTCTATCGACATTGAAGGGCGCGCCGACATCGCAGGGGCGTGCTCGCCATTTTTGAGGTTCATCTTGACGAGGGTAATAGATGGGGTCGGAATAAATGAGGTCGGAGGATCGCGCCGCATCGGTGATGAGTCGGCGATGCATCGGCGCTGTCTTGGCGATGCACCGGCGATGCATCGCCGACGTCTGCGACGCATCGGCGACGTCGTCGTGAAGCACATCGGGCTCCACATCGAGCCGCATCGCCGATGAATCGGCGATGCGGCGCGATCCTCCGACCCCATCTACTCGGACCCCTCTGGGAGGCCTAGAACTACGCTACGCTGCTCCCGATCGGCCCGAAGGCCGTGCCAATCTAGAACTCGGGGGGGAAATCTTGGCCCGTGCCTCCGGCACCCGGGCGATTGTGCGATGGTCGTGCATTGGATTGCTTCACGGGCAGGCGGGAGTGGGAGCAGGAGGGGGGAAGGGGGAGGGGGAGGGAAAGGGGAAGGGGAAGAAACTCATGGGAGGTTCGGTGCCAACTCATGGGAGGCTCCCATAGCATCTTGTTGGCTCCTGCGAATTGACGCTGCTCGACACTACTCGACGCTATTTGGCGCTATCTCATCGACTACGAGGCGCTGGTCGACGCTAATCGACGCTAAAGGCGGGATTGATAGGGTACGCAAGGCTCCCACGGTTTGCAACCGAAGCAGGGGGGGAGCATGCCAAAGACGAAGCTAAGACGAGGAAAACATCGGGTGAGGATCGAGATCCGCCGGCTCTGGAGGACGTCTCGGGCGCCGCGGCCTTCTCAGAGCCCTCCAAAACGCGCTGAGAGCGTTCGGGAACGCTCAGGAACGGCTTCATCCTCGTCCTAGCCCCGCCCGACATGTATATGCCGACGCGATGTCCATAACCATTCTGACTCAGATTTAAGTTGCATGTTCTAATCAGATGCCTGCTCAGCAATAGCTGGCCGTGTGCAGATCTTAGCGGAGGACGCTCAAACATTGCAAGACAGGGGACCGGCAGGCCAATATCGTCGTGGTCTGCGCTCGTCTACGTCGACCTGCATTTCACGATTCTGGTCAGGAGTAGATTACAGATTTCTAACCATCACGTTCAACACGGGGGAGGGGCTAGAGGCGGCGAGATACGCAAGAACGTTCTCTCCGACTTCCCGTCTTCGAGCTCGCAGCAATTCGACCACGAGGAGCAAACTCAAAAAGCGGGGCCCGGGGACCAGAGCACAATAAGAGGTCTGGGCACCCTGATGTTTGCCAGCGTGGACCCCAAACAGCGACCTCTTACACCCTGGGTGCGTAAGCTATGTGCTGGACGCTACGCGCGCTGTGAACCATGCGGCGCAAGCAAGCAGCAAGCAGTATGTCGCACTCTATGTGTGGTGCAAGCTGTGTGGTACAAGCTATGCGTGGTAGAAGCTATATACGTGGTGCAAGCTATGTGGTGCGAGCTATGTGGCACAAACTACGCTTCCGAAAATAGGTGGTGCAAGCTCTGCGGTTGGAACCCTGAGGTGCCGTCAAAGGTGTATACTCCAAATCCCTTATTAATCGTCCCCCAGGTCTGGTTTTTTGAGGCGCCTTTTGTGTCACTGGGGGGGGGTCTGGTTGATTCGTGCGCTCTCTTTGGATTGGAGCTTGGGGGGTCCGGTTTCTCAAGGCGCTCCGTCGCAGAGGGGGGTCCGGCATATCAGGTCGTATTTGGAGGGGGGCCCGGTTTTTTAGGGGGGGGGGGAGCGATTCAGAAGGCATGCGGGATACGCGTTGTGCTGCGGGCAGGCAAGCTGGTCGGCGTACACCCTGCGAAATGCTTTAGAAATCATGGGTTAAGAAATTCATAGTCTCAGAACTTGACTAAAAACCCAGATTGCCTATCAAAATCTTAAGATCTACATTGAAACGTTAAGAATCATCGAGACTCTGGCCGAAACCTTGGGTTTTCTTAAGCATCGCCTAGGGTGTAGGCTTCGCGACGGGGCGCCCACGACCGCCAGACCGGGCGAAAAGCCTCGGCAGACCCACGCAGCGCACGACGGGCGCCCGCGAAGCGCGCCAGCGGCCGCCCGTTCGTGCGAGAGATCTCGGCAGGCCGCGGGCGCGGTGCGCGGGGGGCACCCGCGAGGAGCGCCCACGGGTGCCCACCAGGCGGACACCTCTGAATGGGCCCTGGGACACACAAATAAATACACACAAATAAAAATAATCCCCATATTTTCCCATATTTTCTGGTTTTTTGTCTTCCCCCCCACTTCCCATATTTTCCCATATTTTCTGGGGAATCGAGGATTAATTGTGTCTGTGTGTTTCTTTTCCTCTTGAGTGGTGGCGGCAAACGCCGTGCGCGAAGAGTGCCACAGCAAAGTCAGAGCTGCCGGCCCGCATCGCCAGGTTTCTGAAAGAGAGCCCCATAATTAGGGCGCTCGTAGCACACAGCCGCTGGCCGATCCGCGCCGAGACGTGCAAGAGCATGCAGTTTGCATCGGCGGTCTCTGCTGCTTCACTTGCAAGGAGTTGTCGTCCCAGCCTGGCTTCGGTTTCTTCTGAAACGAGCGCGGGGGTGTACTGGCACAGGGCGGTCCCGACCTTCTCCTCGAGACATGGGGGGGATATTAAACGAACAACACTGAGAACCGAGAGCTCAAATCTCCCCTGAACCGTGTACACCGTTGTGGGTACTTGTATGGTCCACGACGACGACGACGACAAGGACGAAAACGACCAAGGCCTCTTCCGCAAGACCCCGCTAAGGCTGCAGACTCCTCCGATGAAGACCACCACGGCTATCACGATGACCGCAATCACGCCGCCTGAAAGGCCGTCCGACGACGATTCATCGGGAGTCCCACCAGTAGTCTCGAGCGGCGCCTCGGTGGTTGAAGCCATACCCCCAGTGCTAATTGAGACGGTCTCCGGGTCGAAGCTGACGCTGATGCTGCCTGATAGCTGCCGCTCCGCCCGAGTTAGTCACCCGAGGCTACGGCACTCACGAGTGCTTATGCTCGCCCTGCTCCTTTACTATCCTTCCCTGCCCTAAGGAGCCCCCCCCTTCCCTGGAACCCTCCCTCCGATGCCTCAGACCCTCCCCTCCTACCCATCCTCTCTCATTTCCATCCGTTCCCTTCGTTTCCATCCCTGCTGTCTGCTCCTTCTGCTATAGCGCGTGCGTTGAATCCTCCATCCCATTCCTCCACCTCCCTCCGTCGTTTCTCGCCTTACCAAACATTGCCCTCTCTGACATCCCTTCTCTTCCCTCCCACTCCTTACATATGTTCCTTCTCTCGCTTCATCCCTCCGTCCCTCATCTCCCCACTCTGACACATGTTCCATTGCGTTCGCCACGAAACAAAATATACCCCAACCGTGCTGACTGCGTGGCAAACATGAGGAAGACGCGGGAGAGGAACAGGGAGGGAAAGAGGAAGCAGAGGCAGAGAACGAGACAGGGAGGAGCAGGAGGAGCAGGAAGAAGAAGGAGAACTGCGAGGGGGGGATCGATAAGGAATCAGGCTACCCCTCCTTCTGCAAACTGCCAATCACGATCTTGCCCCCCTGTCGTCCATGTGCGGCAGGCTCGATCCTCCGCCCTCCGAAGCCGGGATTCTTTCGTGGCGTGGGCCTCCGGGCTCTCGAGCCGTCCCACTGGGCCGGGTGCCGCCGGCAGACCCCGAGCGATCAGAGCGGTGATCGGAGGGGCCGAAGAGAGACCCAGGACAGCACAAGAGCGCTCCAAGAAGGACCCAGCTGGCCTCCAGAGGCCCCCAGGACGGCGCAGGAGGCCCTCGACAGGACTCTCAGGGCGCAAAAATAGCTTCACTCCTTGAGGAGAACGTCCCGAGAGGTCTCTTCATGACCCCGACGCGCCGAGCCTGGAGCACGGCAACTCTGGCGCGATGTGCTCGAGTCGCCGGAGGACCCCCGGAGGGCGGTGGCTTCGGCTGGCGGACAGAGTCCTGCCCCCCGCCCCCTGACGACCGAGGTGCTCGCGCAAACTCTGGCCCGCCCACTCTGCCCCTGATCCAGTGTGGATTGGCTGCGCCGGCGGGGTGCAGGGTTAGGCCAGTCGGGCGATCGACAGCTCGTGCTGCAACCCTGCAGCAACCATTGCAGCATCAGCATTCCCAATTTCATCATCAGCATCATCCACATCATCCCATCCAGATAATCATCATCATCATCCACATTCTCGTCAGCATCGTCATCATTCTCATCATCACCACCACCATCATTATCATCAGCACCATCACCATCATCATCGTCATCATCGTAACCATCATCAGCAGCATCATCAGCGTCATCATCAACATGATCATTACCACCACCACCATCACCAGTAGCATCATAATAATAATCATCATCAGTACCAGCAACATCATTAGCATCACCATCGTCACCATCACCATCACCATAATAATCATTATCAGCAGCATCATCAACACCGGCAGCATCATCAACATCACAATCACCAACGCCATCACCAACACAATCACCATCACCATCACCATCACCATCACTATCATGGTCACCGTCATCATCATCACCATCATCATCGTCATCATCATCATCATCCGCATCATCATCAGCATCATCATCATTGTCGAAATCCTCATCCTTGGCACCACCACCACCACTCCCCACCACCATCACCACCAACACCACCATCATGATCTCCACCATCGCCATCATCATCAGCAACATCATCATCATAATCATCATTCTCAGCATCATCTTTATCATTATCGGCATCGTCATCGTCGTCGTCATCGTCATCGTCATCGTTAGCATTATCCGCATCATCATCATCATCATCATCATCATCATCATCATCATCATCATCATCATCATCATCATCATCATCGTCATCCTCATCAGCATCATCATCACCATCACCATCATCATTATCATCATCATGAGCATCATCATCATCGTCATCATCATCACCACCACCACAATCATCATCATCAGCATCATCATCGTCATCATCATCAACAACATCGCCGCCCTCCTCGCTCCAGCCGAAAGGAGGAGGATGAGGCGAAGCCGCAGCAGCAGGATGAGCAGAGGAAGGATAGGAGAGCGAAGTGGCCCCTTCGCACGCACTCCAGCGCTACACGGTGGACGCCAAGGTCACTCGATGTCGGGAGAGTCGGATGTGCCGGACAATGAGGCCATGTCCTCATCCACAACGCCGTCGTTACCAGAGTGGTTCTCCACGAGGAGCAGGAACTTGAGGAGTGCCCCGCTCTCGATGGCGGCGGCCATCTCGCTCTCGCCTTCCAGCGCCACCAAGCTTCGCGTGCTTCTCATCCGGACGCTGCTGGTCCTGAAAACTCAATTGACCAAAGGCCGGATCATGATTGCTCTTGTTTCTGTCAGTCTGGCGCTCGGCATCCTGAAAACGACTCTACTCACCCATTACACCTGGTGTCTATTGCTTTGGCTGTCCCAATCGCCCAAAGGTCACCCAGAAGTCGCTCGGGGTGCCAATGGGCCCGGGGCGCCATGCGCTGCTACGCCGCAATACTATGCTACACAATGTCATGTTGTGGCCTGCTGCCTGTGCTATGATATGCTACGCTATGCTGCGCACTGGTGCACCATAAGTTGCAATGCGTTGCCAATTGATGCGGCGACATGTTGTGACACGGATGCACCACGCTACGGCATTAAATCATGCGATGAGATGCTGCAATACATGTGCCGGTCTCTGCAGTGATACGGTACATCCTAAGATACTTGACAAGTTAACGTTGTCATATGCCATATAACAAGCTAGCCATTACTGTAGTTTGCTGTGCAATGCAGTTATGGTGTGAAGCTTGCCATGCCATGTCAACGCAATTTGCTGTGCTATTCGATATTACGCAATGTTGATACCTAATGGTGTGCTAAGCGGATGTGTGCCACGCATCGCTGTGCTATTCTCTCCTTTGCACTGCATGTCATTGCATTGTACATGTACTGAGTGGAAGAACGACCCCATCGCGCCCCGAAGGGGCCTGGAATGTGGCGGCAAACAGGGCTCACGGGCTAGCCACCGTGCCATGCAGGCTCAACGATGTCATCAGTTCGAGGATGAGGGATTGGGCCGTGTCCGAAAACGCACACAAACAACAGCAAACCACTCACCCGGTTGTTTTCCTCAGAGAACCAACATGAACCTGGCGGAGGACCCAACCATATGCAGTTGGGGCTAACGCAATTGTGAATCTTGTCATCGATGGGGCTCCCTATGGGGGCACGTGTGAGGGGTGTGCCGAAATGGGTGCGGCGGGCGCATGCAAGCACAACCACTGGGGCGTTCGGTGCAGCTCCCTATGCGGCAACGAAGCGTATGATGGGTGAGTTGCAAGGGGTGCGGTGAGCGCATGCGAACGCAGCCACTGGAGCCTTCGATGGAGCTCATTCTGGGGCCACGAAACGTGTGAGGGGTGTGCCGCCGTGGGTGCGGCCGGCGCATGCGAGAGCAGCCACCGGGGCCTTCGGTGCAACACCATATGGGGTCACGAAGCGTGTTAGAAGTGCGCCGCAATGGGTGGGTGCGGCGGGCGCATGCGAGCGCAGCCACTGGCGGTTGGGCTCCATTTGGGGCCGCGGACCGTGTGAGGGGTGTGTCAACATGGGCGCGGCGGGGGGCAGAAGCGAACGTAGCAACTGGGACTTTCAGGGGGGCTCCCGACGGGGCTTCGAAACGCGTGATGAGGTCTTCGATGGAGCTTCCTATGGGGCCACCAAACGTGTTAGGGTGGTGCATGCCAAAGTAGGCGCGGCGGGCACATGCAGGAGCAGTCATTGGAGCCTTTTGTGGAGCTCCCCATGCGGCCACGAAGCGTTTGAGGGGCATGGTGCGGCGGGCGCATGCGAGCGCAGCCACTGGGGCCTTCGGTGGAGCTCCCAATGGGGCCACGAAACGTGTGAGGGGGCGGCGGGCTCATGAAAGCGCAGCCACTGACCTTCGATGGGGCTCCCGATGGGGCCACGGAACGTGTGAGGAGTGTGTCGAGATGGGTGCGGCGGGCGCATGAAAGCGCAGCCACTGGGGCCTTCCGTGGGGCTCCCGACGGGGCCACGAAACGTATAAGGATGTGACGACGTCGGCACGGCGGGCGAATGCGAGAGTAGCCATTGGGGCCTTCGGTGCAGCTCTCTATGGGGCCACGAAGCGTGTGATTGTTGTGCCGCAATGGTTGACTGGGCACCCTATGGGGCCACGGAGCGTGTGAGTGGTGCGCCGACATGGAAGTGGAACCGCATGCGGACCCTGCCACTGGGGCCTTCGGTGGAGCATCCTATGTAAGACATGCGGAGGACAGAGTGAAGGAATGGGAGGGGGGAGGATGGGGAGGAAGGGCGGGAGCGCGCGGCGCTGTCTCTTCAAAACAAGGCCCCAGCATCACAGGATAACCTCACACCTCAGATGAGGCCAGTGGTCGGGACTCAAAAGGCGGGACACGATGGGCGGGACACATATTTAGGGGGAAAACTAACCTACCTCGCTTTTGACCACCCTCGCTTCCAAGAGATACCAAACGATGCCAAATTGCAGCCTGTACTGGTCAGGCCGCCTGACGAGGAGGCGCGTGGTATGGCTTGGTTTTGCCTGGAAGCGAAAGCGTGGTAGGTAATTCACGCTCTGAATATTAGCAACCAAACACCCCAAACACCTAGAACCTAGCAGACCAGGCCACTGGGCGGGACCCTGCGGACCGAGATCGGCAAACATATCACTACCACAACACTGGCAGGCGAAGAGGCCGGTGGACCCAACACCAAGGCCGGAGGGGCGATGGGTAGGCACCTCCGAAGTCCTGCGAGACCCCATGGGAGGGACCCTCTGGCCAACAGCCACGGCATTCTGGCAGACAGAACATCCAATGGGGCGCAGCAGCACGAAAAGCCTTGGTGCACGCACGGCGGACAAACAGCACAAGTTTCACACTTTGCAGACGTCTGGGAATTCTGAGCTCAGACGTGAAGCGCGAAAGCCTGACTCCTGACACGAGCGGCAGGTACAGAGCGCGCGCATGAAGATTCTCCCGCCCGCCGCTCCTGAGGGCGACTCCCGAAAACTGCAGCGACCAAGCGTGGATATCCACCGGCGGGCCGGGGAAGCCCCACGGCAGGTCGACGTCCGAGACGACCTTCGGAGCAGGACGAGCTGAGACAACGGCAGCTCGAAGCCCGTCCTCAGACCCCTCCCGAGGCCCAAACGCCCCAGTTCACAACGGGGGGGAGCGGGCCCTGAGAGAAGCGGGTCCTGGACCCTGGGGCCTTCCGTCCTCCTGCCGAATCGTGTTCTGCCAGCCCCCGGGGCCCGTCGAGGGCCCCAGGAAATGCTGTCTTCTTTTTTTGTCCCGCGCCCCGCAAAAAACACTCGGGACCCGGGAAAACCTCGGGACCCGCTTCCCTCAGGACCCGGTCCCCCCGTGGCGGCCCGGGCTCCCCGAGCCGCGCCCGGCCGTGGCAGCGAGGGCCCCTCTCCCCCCGCAGGCCCGTTGAGGAACTCTGAGGTCTGAGGTAGCCGACTCTGCAAACGACAGGACTTCAACCTCGCGAAGCATCGCGACCGGAGCCCTGGACCCCACCTGCGTCATTCGGCGAGAGCCCCTCCCGAAGGCCAATGATAGCCTGAGATGCGACGCTGCAACAAACAAGCGCAACCTCGCGACAAAAACTGCGACCAGAGCCCTGGACCCCACCTGCGTCTTTCCTCGAGCCGGATCGATGTGCTTTCTGTCTCTCTCCCGACGATGAGCACCGTACCGCCACGTGAGTCCCCTCGGCGACAGACTAGGGTTCCAACCCGGGAACACAGTCTGCACCGACTGGCGAAAGCGTGAGCATGCCGAGTTGAAACGCGCAGCACCTATCGTTAAGACGGGCGTGTCCCCCTACGGGCGGATTCTGGGCGAAAACATAAAAAGGACCCTCAAAATACACCAACATATACAAAAATGGTAAAACAAATTGTCCCCATACGATGTTTGGACTATTTTTGGATATATTCCCCCTGCAGAGGGACAGGCCCGCCTTAAACCTATCGATCGATCGAGCCAGATCGACCGATCGAGCCGGCTCGACCTTGGAAGGCCCTGGGGCCCGGAGCCGGGCGAAGACGCCAGGGCCTCAGGGCAGGTCGACAGCCCCAAACCACCGACGCCATTTGGGCGCCCGAGTTATCCGGGATAACTCGGGTCCGGGGTAACTCGGGTTTGGATTCCCGAAAAAGGAACCCGAGTTATCCCTGACCCGAGTTACCCCTGATGATTCGGGGCTCTTGGACGCCCGATTCATCCGGGGTAACTCGGGTCCGGGGTAACTCGGGTTTGGATTCCCGAAAAGCGAACCCGAGTTATCCCTGACCCGAGTTACCCCTGATGATTCGGGGCTCTGAGCCATGATTTTTGTGCATGACGCGACCCCCAGGACTTCGGACCCTTTCCCCGGGACCGGTTTTTCGGGGGCGCGCCAACATGGATTCGCGATCCATGGATTTGGCGCGCGGTCGCCCAATCCATGGATCGGGGGAAATAGGCGGAAATCCGCGATTTCCCATGGAAGCGGGGTCGTCGCTAATCCACGCCCCCTTGATCCATGTTTGCGATCGCCTGAGTTTTTCATCCGGAATCGTTTTTGACGGTCCCGAGGCCCGGTAAATGCCCCCAGGGGCCAACAATACGGAAAAACCTCCTGTCACGATCTTGTTCACAACGCGAGGGGTTCTGGGATCTCAGGGAGCGTCGTCTCGGCTCGCCCTCCTCTGGTAGAGGCCTCCTAGATGGGTCCGAGTAGATGGGGTCGGAGGATCGCGCCGCATCGCGGATGCATCGGCGATGCATCGGTGATGCATCGGCGATGCACTGGCGATGCATCGTCGACGTGGGCGATGCATCGGCGACGTCGACGTGAAGCAAATCGGTCTCCACATGGAGCGGCATTGCCGATGCATCGTCGATGCGGCACGATTCTCCGACCACATCTACTCTGAACCCATTTGGAGGCCTAGATTTGGAGGCCTGGAAATGGGCACCAACACCAAGACAGGGGGCTGCCTCCACAAGGGGGAGATGATCCTAGATTTCGGTGTTGGTGGTAATATTTTGGTCACCCTGGAAGCCAGAATATTACCACCATCGCCGAGATCGGAATCTTCTTCCCTCGGTGGAGGAACACCGCCGATATTGGTGTTGGTGTCAATCTTAGGGGAACCAAAAGGTACCGATACCGCTACTCCCCGGACCTCTGCAGGGTTGCCTTCTGACCAGGATTTCGATGTGAATCCAGCGGTGACAACGAGAGCCTCCGAGGAGGCCGAAAAAGTGGAAAACGGGCGAAGGGTAGCGGTATCGGTACCTTTTTCCTCCTCTGAAATAATCTTTAGGCCTGCGATAGATCTGGCGACCTGCAGCACCGTGGTGCCGCCCCCCACCCCGAGCTCGTCCGCGCGGGCGAGGCTCAGGCAGACCCCCAGCGGGTACCGGTGGTCCCTGTCGGTGACCACGTCGAGCCCATGCACCGACCACGCACAAGAGGGGCCCATAGGCAAGAGGGACCTTTGGTCCCAGAACCACTCCTCGCGCTATGAAAAAAACACGACGGAAGTTTCTCGCCATTCTCGGCCTCTGGGGGCCCTCACTGGTCCTCGGGGCCGTCAAAAACGACTGAGGATGAAGACCCGGTCCCGGGGATTGGGTCCGGATCTTTCGGAGTCGCGCCATGAACAAATCATGACGTCGGGGGGGGTGCGCGGCCGGAGGGGGCGCAAGGTGGCCAAATCCAAGCGCGCAAGCCCATGCACCGACTACGCGCAAGAGTGACCCTAGGCTTCTGTTGCTCTCATCGTTCACAAGGGCCACCTCCTAGAAACAACTTCGAGCACCCAGGAAAGCATCGAACCAGCATGTGCCCAACACGCTGACGAGGTGTCGAACGAGTCTCGCACCCCAGGGCCCGGCACGTGACAGCCCTCCAGCTTCGGTACTTCCTATAGATGCTCGCAATTTGTTCTGGTGGCCCAGGCCCAGACCCCCAACTTCATGATTTTTCATGACGCGACCCCCCGAGGTCTCGACCCATTCCCCTGGACCGGTTTTTCATCCCGAATCGTTTTTTGACGCTCCCGAGGGCCGGTAAGGCCCCCAGAGGCCGAAAATAGGAAAAACCTTCCGTCGTGATTTTTTCACGACGCGAGGAGGTGTGGGGATCAAGGCTAAAATGCGTCGGGACATCGTATCCCTAGGCAAGAGGGGCCTCTGGTGCGCGGCCTGAGGCGGCGCAGGGTGGCCACATCCCATCGCGCAGCCGGCCGCGCTCCAGAAAAGCCTCCCGCATGGGCCGGGCAGGGCGAAAGGGGGAGAGAGCAAAGGGGGGGTTTGAGAATCAGCCTACGCAGCTGATGTTCCTGGCGCCTCCCGGCGCCGGGAGGCGCCCATGTATTGAGAATTGGGCCCGACGGCTGGGCCTAAACCGGCTGCGTGCAGCAGATGTCGTACCCCCCCCTTTCCCTATCTCCCTCCTTTCCTTCGGCCCGAATGGGGTCGGGGAGCAGCTGGGGTCGGAGAGCCGCGCCACATCGGCGATGCATCGGCGCTGCATCGGCGAGGCGCCGGCGAGGCCTCGCCGATGCACCCGCGATGCCTCGGCGACGTCGGCGTGACGCAAAGCGGGCTCCACGTCGAGCCGCACCGCCGATGCATCGGCGATGTGGGGCGACCCACCGACCCCATCTCTACTCCGACCCCATCTCTACTCCGACTATCGCATCGCGCTTCGCGATCGGGGGACCTCTGCGGGCCCGCACCCACAGGTCACTCCGGCGAAGGGCGCCTCTTGCGGGCAGTCGACTCCACCGACACGTGCGAGGAGAGCCCGGCGCGGGGCAGGTCGCTGACGCTCGGGTGCTGCTGGAGGTGGGACCATGGCCCAGGGCACGAAGCACGAAGCTTGCGTTAGGTCGGGCATGTCCTCCTACAGCCGGATTTTGAAGGTCTAATTCTTTTAAAGTAAGAAATACAACAAACATCAAACATAGTAGAAACATCGTCCCATAATATGTTGTACTACTCTTTGAGTATCCCTGTAGAGGGACACGCCCGACTTAGAGTTTGCCGCGGTGGGCCGCGAGGGCCCGGCAAGATGGCACCGGAGAGCGCCAAAGACGGTCCCCAAGGATGGAAACACACAACAGCATCGTGTGGCGCAGAAATTCCCAGACATGCGACGTTCTGATGTTTTCCGTCCGCGGATGTCCAGACCCATTCCCCAAGACCGGTTTTTCATCCTGTGTCGTTGTTTGACGGCCCCGAAGCCATGTAAAGGCCCCCATGAGAGGGAGGAGGAGGAGGCGGAGGAGGAGGAGGCGAAGGAGGGAGGAGGAGGAGGCGGAGGAGGGAGGAGGAGGAGGAGGAGGAGGGAGGAGGAGGAGGGAGGAGGGAGGGAGGAGGAGGAGGAGGAGGAGGGAGGAGGAAGTGGCGGAGGAGGAAGAGGAAGAGGAGAGGAGGAGGAGGAGGAGGGAGGAGGACGGAGTGAGGAGGAGGAGGAGGAAGAGGAGGAGGAGGCGGAGGAGGGGAAGGAGGAGGAGGAGGAATGCGAGGAATGCGAGCACGAAAGACAGCAGAAGTCTTCAGAAGAACGATTACGAAACCGAGCTCGAGGCCCCCCCCTCCCCGCGGCTGTCCTGCGTCGACTCCACGACGGGCCGCGAGAGGCGGGCGAGCTCAGTGTCTCGGACATGGCGGGGCGGGCCCCCAGGGTGAGGGTAGCGCCCCTCACGAATTCTCTTGAGATTATGATCACCCTTGGGGCTGGGGGTGCATCTGCCGACCAGCCACCTGGGATCACACGTGGCGGTCTTGCCACAGGCACTGCAAAATGTGAGCCCGAAGCGCCCCCAAAACTGGAGGCGGTGGGAGAGGTGGAGCGGCGAACCTCCAATCTCCTGGGGACCACGCAGCGGGGCTATGCCGTCGCCCAGGGGCCTGGCCTGGCAGGAAGAGAGAGCAGCAGCTTTGACGGTTGCTCTCGTTTCGTAACGAGAGCAGCACAGACAAACGAACTTGGGCCCGATCTTCCGCCACTCGTGGGCGGAGACACGGAGGACGCGGGACAACGCAAGGACGAAGGGCACCTCGGGAAGCTCAGGGCGAGTCGCGTTCCAGGGATCCACGGACGCCGACTGCTCGAGAGCTCTCCGAGCCCGCCTGCGGATGAGTGCCGACTCAGCATCTCTGCGGTCGGTCTCGGAAACAAAACCGATCTTGAACAAGCTCCAATTCAGACGGGCGGCCCTGCCAGCGGGCACATCGGCACATTCATTGCCGAAGACACGGAAAACTTCGCTCTCACTGGTGACGTTCATCTCATCGACCGAAACGTGAGACGGGGTCCACTCGACGACTGTCTCCGCGCCCCTCCCCTCAGAGGCCCTAAAGATTATGGTCCAAAGGTCTTGGTTCCGCACGTAGCCCCCGCACTTGCCCTGGGACCAGACCTTCAGGATGGGGAGGTGGTCGGTAATATGTCTTAAGTTGCCTACCGTTCTCTCGAGGGCCTCAGCGAACGCTGTGAGCTCAGCACGGGGGACGGTGTGGGTTTTACCTGGAACCGTGATGCCGAAACCCGCGCACGGCTGCCAAGCGAACGCGCTGCCCTCGAGAGCCACAATAGCAGCTCCAACCCTGCGACGCCGAGGGTCGTCGGAGAAATCACCCCCCGAGCCATCCCCGAACACGCAGACGAAACCCTCGGCATCGCGGGGTGCGGAGGCGAAGCAGCCGAAAGATATGTGCACTGGCTGCTTTTCTTCATCGAAGACTGGGCAGGTGTCGGCGCGGCTCGGTACGCCGCGGAGCCACAAGGACGGGCTCGCCTCATGGTTGACCCGCGCCTCTTCCTCCAGGTAGGAGCTGTCGTCGTAGTCCTTATGACCAGAGTTCGTTGGACAGCTCCAGATCCGATGATACAACGTTTCATCAGCAAGGCCGCACGTAGGTGCCACCTCGTAGCCAGCGGCACGTAGGCGGGCGCGGGGCCACTGCCCTCCAGTGGTGACCGCGACGGTCAGCCCGACCAGGCCGTGCTCGTCGGCCTTGGCGAACCTCTCGATCTCGCGGGCCACGTGCAGCACGTCCGCGCCGTGCCTGAGGTCCTCCGCAGCCTCATGCAGGGACGCCTTGTCCCACAGCTTCTTGCCGATCGAGCCACTGACGTCGTCGAGGATGGCCGAGAAGTCGCTGGTCATCTCGTCGAAGCTGTCGTCAGCGGCGGAGGGGATGAGCCACGAGTGCCCCGCGTCGGTGTCCCAGTGCGTTGCCGGCACGGGGTCCCAGCCCAAGTCCATCAGCGTGGCGATCGTGGCGCTGACGGTCCCCTTAACGATGCGCCACTTCCGCTGCCCCGCTCGCCGAAGCCGAGGGGCGACGATCTCCCACGCCTTCTGGATGCGCGGGTGCAGCTCGGGGTGCTGCAGCCACATCTGGAGCCACGTGGACAGCTGCTGCCTGCGCATCGAATCCGCAGGGTCGCCGTAGCCGAGCGTCGTAGCAAGAGTAGTAATCAAACAGCGGCCTGAGCCGCTCCCTGCAGATGTCCGCCCAGCTTGGCGACGGAGGTTGATGATCTCGTACTCAGGCAGTCTCATCTGATGGTGGCCGTAGACGGCCTGGGGTAGACTGCCTGTGCGCCACAATCCCTGCGAGACACGACGTAGCCTCGCGATGCGGCTGACCCTGGCGATGGCCTTGGTCCGCATGGCTGCCTTCTTCATTCTGTCCCGAGCCTTGAGCCGAACTCGAGCACGTCCAGCGCCCACGTCGCATCCCAGGTCGACTGCAGTTGTGACGGCGCGGGCGGGGATGCCTTGTCGCTGGAGACCTCTGGCGATATCCGTGGACATGGCGGTGCTGGAGGCGACGACGACGGTCTTGTCGGACACGACGAGCTGCGCCTCCTTCTGCATCAGCTGTCCGACATAACCTCCAGCCTGGATCAGAGTGTCGGTCACGGCTCTGGCGGTGCCTTCAGCTCGGATGATCGTGTCATCGATGAAAGTCCTCATCATGATGCTGTGCTGAAAGCGTAGATGAGCAGAGCGAAGGAGAGGGCCCAACATTGCCTTCGCCAGCTTGCCACCGTGGGGCGATCCAGCCACAAGTGACTTGGTGGGAAGTATTTCTCTGGACACCCATTGCCTCTCACGAAGATACCGCGGCGCCAGGAACATCTGAAGCCCCAGGGCCAGGATGATCGCTGGAAAGCCTTGTCGCACGCCAGCCTTGCAGAGCAAGGGGATGGAGATGCTGTCGTAGAACTTCTCCAGGTCCAGCAGTATGGTCCCGCTGGCGATATTCATGATACTACAACGCTCGTCCATGCAGCACCTGACGAGCGCGGCCTGGAGGGAAGAGGAGCCTCGGACAGCCGTGCCCCGAAACTCCGAGAGACCTTCACTCCACTCCTCCGATAGTGGGTATCGTATCTTGGACCATAACTTCATGAAGAATGGGGACTGGCCGAGGATGCGGTCGCCCCCCTTGGCCTTCGGCGCCACTGCGCC